GCAGTGTTAGCAGCATTAGCAGTGTTAGTGGCATTGGCAGCATTAGTGGCATTAGCAGTGTTAGCAACAATAGCAATGTTAGCAGCTTTTGCAGCATTAGTCGCAGCAGCAGCATTAGCAACATTGGCAGCGTTAGCAGCATTAGCAGTGCTAGTGACATTGGCAGCATTAGTGGCATTAGCGGTGTTAGCAACAATAGCAATGTTAGCAGCTTTTGCAGCATTAGTCGCATCAGCAGCATTAGCAACATTAGCAGTGTTAACAGCATTAGCAGTGTTAACAGCATTAGCAGTGTGGTTACTTTTCTCTCAGGATGATTATTACATCATAACAAAAGCCTTGCACCAGTGGCAAAATTTCAAAATCTTTACAAGTAAACTAACATTTAGCTGCAATGTTTAAGATTTAACTTTTACATTTAGATTTAAAGTTTTAACATGTAGACATAACATTTAAGATTTAGTAAGAACTATCAAAATGTAAGAGTGAGCCTAATAACAGTAAACAAATGTTTTTTTTTTTACTTTTACTCTCAGAACGTAAGATAAATAATAAAAAATGTTTCAGTGACTTTTTACATTTTATTCTACACTTGGTGCTCCATATACGACAAGTTAAATTGAGTTTTCACCTTTTCTTACTCATCTGAATCAGTGTTTGTGTACAAAGAGCCAGTGAGGGGGTTGCCAAGGTGGGGGCAACATAGCAGTTGTTGCTCTTTAGTCCCACCCTGCCCCGCCCCTCCACCCTCCAGCATTGTGTCGTTTATCTATTAAACAACCTCCTGGTTGCATCAACAAAGATACCTCTGCCTCTCCAGGGGCTCAAGCGCACCATAGAAACAGATTACCGCACCTTCTGTGTGGGGTTTGTTTATTCATTAACTCCAGGAAGGTCCATCCATCCATCCATCAGAGATGGGGACTCGAGTTTGGGACTCGTACTCGAGTCGCACTTAAGTCGCATAAACAGTGACTTCAGACTCGACTTAGACTTGCATTCAAAAGACTTCCAACTCGACTCGGACTCGCCATTTGAGACTCGTGAACAATCTTTTATTTTTAATGTTTTTAATGGAGGCCTCATAATGCGCCCTCACCGAGCCAGGCTAAGTGCAAGTACCCTGTCAACCTTGATCTTTTTAAAATGTAATGCGTTAGTTGCATAAACATTTTCCTTGTGTTGGGACACTGAAAGACACCTCGAAGTTCAAATAGATTGTGTTTGATCCAGTTCATTAAGAGACCAGTTCATTAGGAGACAAAAAATTGTTGCTGCAGGGCTTTTTATGTTAGAATCATTATTATTGTAAAATTGGAATTTTGTTTCAATTTTTATTTTTATAATCACTTATTTGATTGCTATTTTCTACAGTATATATGCAGACCTTTCACATACAGTAAAAAAATATATGATTTTGATTAAGATTTTTTTATTTCACAGCCCTCCTTTTCCTTTTAGAACATAAATATAGCAGGTATTCACTGCTGAAAGAAGAGAATATTGTATCCAGAAATATGTCAGTTTTGTAAGAAAAATACTTTTTGGGGAAAAAACAGATACAAATTTATGTGGAAAACATTTGAGTGTGGGTGCTTTTTTAATTGTATTTTTCATTTACCAGTTTAAGCTATTATACATCAGAAGTGTCATAACAGACCATTACAACTATAAAGTGATTTGCGACTGCAGTGTCACTCAAATATTAGGGACTTGACTTGGACTTGAGATCAAAGACTTGAGACTTGACTTGGACTTGAGATCAGAGACTTGAGACTTGACTTGGACTTGAGATCAGAGACTTGAGACTTGACTTGGACTTGCAAAAAATGACTTGTGAGCATCTCTGCCATCCATCCATCCATCCATGCTCAGCCTGCTCTGGTTTGTGAGCAGGTCAGAGTTTAATACGAGCCGCTGCCGACTCAACCAGTGAGATGATGAGAGGTCCTTTTGATGGGTTCATTATAATCAGCGCTGCGGCGTGTTTGGGCCCAGATGGCACCAGCGTTTGCACTAACAGGATTAGGATTATCTCCAGATTAGATCATTACCTTCTTGAAACACAACATGCGAGATGTTTTTCTTTTCAGGTTGTGAAAAAATAAATGACTACAAAAATCCCAGAGTCTGGTGAACGGTGGCGTCTTTGTTGGATTTCACAGCAGATCCGTTTGTTTGAATTTAAAAGAAAAACTCTGATTTGAGACCAGTCAGCTGGGACCAGACACTTCAGAGAGGCGCACGTAAAGCCTGCTGGAACTGAATCATGGCTGTTATGTAACTCGGGCCTGAGCGAGGGGAGGGCAAGCAGCAGACGTGGGAGAGAGACTGAAAGCAGAAGACTGACCCAGATCAACAAATGGTGCAGATAAGTACCTAGAAAGAGGGCCGAGGCCAGCGGATTGATGTGGAATAAAAGTGGGGTGTGCAGAGGAAAACGGAGGAAACTGAGATTTCCACGACGGAACATCGGGGCTGGTTTGGTGGAAATCAGTGACTGGGCTTCAGTGACACAACCAGGCTGGAATGTGGGTCAGCAGGCAGAGAGTTTGACAACTGTGGTCAGGGAAAGTTYCCCCACAAGTGTGTGTATTTGTGCCGTGTGTGTGTGTGGGTGCATCTGCGTCCTTTCCCGGCTGTGTTTTCCACTTCTTCCTTGACCGTCAGCTGCTTGAAAATAGAAGAAGGGGAAGGGTGTGTTTTAAAAGTTGAGTAAGAAAGGGATGACTTCCAACCGTGTTTCTCGTCAGAAGACTAGAAATCCATACATGTGACCCAAAAACATCAAGCTCCAAAACATTGTGTTGTCCTTCCACCTGTTTCTCCTTCGTCAAATGTCCTATTTACCCCAAACATGTGGGTCAAAGATAAGCAGCCAGTTGTGACGGTGTTTTGGAACCATAAAGCCATGAGGACTCTTTATGGTCTGTTTCCTCTGCCGTTTCTTTGTGCACACAATGCACACACGTGATCCAAACAGAACACACCCATGCTGCAAACGTTGCTCAATGTTTATTGCTCCCTAAAATTTGCAGAGGTAGGTGATTCTTCAGCAAAGAAGGGGGATGTTTAACGGTTGCGAAAGCGGACCGCCTCACTGTCCAGAAAAATTGCATTGCTTTCAGCCCGCTAAGGTATTTGTGACAGACTTTCCCTGCTTTTATCATGAAGCGGGTCCATCTGCAGGAAACGCTGGATCGGCGAGTACAACCGGTAGTGTCTTGTCAGGGAAATAAGCCAAGGATGAGCTAATCTCATCCGTTTTTTTTTTCTGCTAGATTTACAAGATTTTTTTTTTCTTTAAAAAAATGCCCAACAAACTGTCAACTCTTCGGTCACAACAAGGGTCACTTTTCATTCAGAGATGTGAAAAACAGCTGAATTCAGTGAAGAAGTGCATCATTAATCATGGATTTATTTAATGATAAAGCTCTGTTTATATCACATAATGCAATAATTGTTCCACTTTTGATCTATTGTATTGGTGTTTGGGGAAAAGCATGTAAAACAATTACAAATCCTATTTTTGTTTTACAGAAAAGAGCCGTAAGTTCAAAAACATTGTTCCATCAGTTAAAATTGCTGAAATTCTTTGATTTGGTTGATTATGGTATTTTATCAGTCACATATAGGGCTCATAAAAACACATTACCTCCAAACATCACATTACATTTTATTAAAAGAGAGAGTTGTTATAATCTCAAGGGGATAGAAATGTTTATAAGACCTAAAGTTAGAACCAGTTAAAAAGGAATGGTGTGCTTCAGTCCAAGGAATTAAATTATGGAATAATCTGGAAAATGAGATTAAAAATGCCACAACAATGCATGTGTAAGACAATGATAAAGGTTAATTTGCTGGAGAAACATGCACATGTATGAATTGTTGTTCAAGGATTTAATTTTTTATTATTTTTTCTTTTTCTTTTTTGTAATCTGTAGGTAATTTTGATAGAATTTCTTTGAGAAAATAATAAT